TTTTTCTTAAGAGATTAGGAATGGCCTTGTTTGTTAAGGTTAGCGTTTGGAGTTATAAAGATAAGATTTTTTTGGAGTTATAAAGTTAAGAGTTTACCAAACTTCATGCTTATGCGCTCTATTTTTGAGGCCATGAGAATAAAAGTGTAACCCACAAATTTACTAAATGTGTTTTTTTTTGCGTAGTGTATCTCTGTAAAAAAACTTAAAGAAATGTCTTAATAGATGGTTAAAACTGAAATGAGTTTTTAAAACTGATGAACTTTTAAAATTAAATTAAAACTGAAATGAAAGCTGCTATGAGTTCAAAAGCAAGTGAGATAATTCAATTAAAAAGCTAGGCAATTTTATTTGAACTATTTTCTCTATTGTTTTAATATGTTGCTTACACCACTTTTGTTGTCATGGCCTCATTTTTAATTGCTGTTATTCTATTACTATGCTATTTTTCTTAAGAGATAAAGACCTTCGTTTTAATCTCTTATGAAAAATGTTATTTAAAACATTGCATAATAGTAGACATACTTAAGTATTACAATTACTTTTTTTTTTTTTTAATTTCTAATTACAATTTTTTTTTCAATATTTTATTTTTTATCAAATTTTTATTTGCTTTTATTTTTTGTAAATGCAATGTATTTTAGTGAAGCTGCACCAAACAGTGGACGTCTTAGAGATGCATAATATGTTAAAAAGAGTTTAGCAGAATGAGATGAAAGTACAAAAGGACAGATGTATTTTGTATAAATGACAAGATTAACTGTGCATATGACACGTGATTATAATGTTACAAGGAGTATCTAAAGTGAGAGTAAAATTATTTGTTTTATAAAAAAGTTAGCAGGTAGCCTTTAGTCAATTAAACAAACTGTATGTATAGTGTGGCCTGTTTTGTGTTTAGTTATTTTCATAGTGACCTGTGTCTTTACTATGAGTTTTTAGTACCAAAATATTATTATTCGTTAGAAGCTGGGTATTAAAATTAAGTAATGCAATATCTAGTTATAATGTAAAATTTGTGATTTAAAAAAACTCTCTATTAGGAATTTCCTATTGTTTTAACAGTGTGAAAACAATATGTAACCAAACATTTATTTATATTTAATAAATAAGTGTTATTACTTATCCTCTATAAAGGGATGGGTATGGGTGTGTGTGACAGAGCTGGAATAGAATTATTTGTTTTTTAAGTAGTTTTTAGGTGGAAAGTATATAAAAAAAAGGGGGGGGGGGAGTGAAATAATTTTTATAAAATAATAAAAGTTATAAAGCATTCTTAGTGACAGTGGAAGTCAGTAACTGTAATGATCATGGATGGCTAAGCTATTAGTGTTTGGTCTGACTGATGAATAGAAGTGATAATACTTGGAGTAATGATTCGTTTTATAAATAGTTTGTTAGTAGCTTGCGTTATAGGTATGATAAATATACATAGTAAAAAAATGCGGTGACTATTGAAAGAATATTAGATGTAGCACCTACTGGACAGGCAGTGCCGTGCCAGACAGTTGGTAGACCCCCCGAAAAAAAAAATTTTGGGCCCTTGTAACACGTCAAGCCCGTCCCCCGGTTAAGGAGGGGTAATTTGTTTTTAAAATCACTCCTTCCTCACCGCCATACCCGCACCCCCTAAGAACTGTCAACCTTTAAAGTTTTATCAATAAAATTAAAAAGTAAGAAAAAAAAAAAAAAATTTGAATGAAATAATAATTTGATGTTTTGTAATTTAACTAAACGCTGTGTCTAGCGCAACGATACTGTTGCTTTAATTTTTGTGCCTAAAGTCACTAATAGTCATTGTGACTATTAATGAACCAATCGGAATTCAGCAAGTAGCGAAATCTGATTGTTTCTTTTTATTGGTTGCAATTATATTCTTGTATACTGATATAGGGGTAAAGACAATTTAGTGTACACACGTCTACTGACTATCTAGAAATTGGCGAAGTGGAGTGTGTATACATCGACTGACTATCTAAGGGTTGGTGCGGTGGAACGTACATACATAGACAGAGGGTTTTGGCCTGGGCAGGCAATCTTTTGAATAAAAGATTACTTTTTAAATTAAAAATCGGCAGCTGTATCTTTGCGCTGCGTAGACTAATTTAGTAATACAACGCATCTTTTTCATAAGATTTAACTTAAACCAAGCTAAACAAAACTTTCTAAACGAAAGTTTTACTAAAATAAAACGTCCACTAAATCAGCAATATAATCAATGGCGGATCCAGGTCACTGATTGGTCCTAATGGAGGATAGTCGGAACAACAACAACAAAAAGGCCCTATTTTTTAGGTTAAACAACTATTTCATTTGATCATTTACAATGTTTATATATTGGCAAATATATACAGTACAATCTCTCTAATTCGAACAAAAACGGGGAAAATAAAAAATCAAATTAGAGTGATTTTAGAATAACAGAAAGTTTTTTCACATAAGGGTATTTCACGGTGACTTTGCATTTAATCGATTTATGGAGGTTTTCAAATTAAGGAGATTCGAATTAGAGAGACTATACGGTATATATATTAAATGTGTGTATAACTTTAAAACAGCATTTTTTTAATTTTTCTTTTTTTTTTTAAATTTTTATTAATAAAAATGTAAAGTTTGATAGTTCTTTGGGGACTAATCCCCACCCCCTCCTTTGTATTCGTCAGTCAATACAATCATCATTGTATGCATGTCAATACATGCATCATTTTGTTAGGTTTACCGAATTTGAAAAAATAAGCAAACGTTAATACGAAGTTTTAATATTATAAATAAATAAAAAACACCTATATCATAATTTTAATTTTCAAAAAGGGCCCCTTCGAATTCCTAGGCCCCCCCCAACCGGGGGTTTGGGGGGCTTTTGGCACGGCACTGTGGACAGGAGTTATATATTTAACATTATGTGTAAATTTAGTAGTACTGGACATATTATGTTTAGCTTATTATGTAGTACTGAAAAAAATGTTAATCTGGAAAATAAACAACAATCACTTTGAGTTGATTTTTAGCGTTTGTTAAAATTAGATAATATTGTTGATTATTGTTGTAAATGCGGAAAAGTTGTTATGTTTCATGGGTGCATTAAAACTTGCAGTTCTGTTAAAATAACAATTTTTCAACAAATTGTACTGAGTTTGGTCTAACTCACAAATTGACATATTTTGGCTGCAATACAGTTGAAAACAAACATGTTACGTAATACCGCATAATCTTCACTGGCATAATGAAAAAAGTTACCCATAGCAACTAATGTATTAACTTGCGCAGTTGCATCATGTTGATCATTATGTGTAAAATCTGCAACGGTCTTACGCATTCCTTGTTGAAATTCTTCTACGAGCCTACACTTCCGGTACTGCAATTAACCAACGACGTAATGCGTCTTGTGTTAAACCAATAGTACTTTTGGCTTTAATCAATGGCCATTTGCTGAAAAATTGCACAGTTTTTTTTGCCCACCAAGAATGCAACAAAAAAATTATCGACTATTCTGCACATTATTTCTCTAATGACCCTGTACAGATCAGGCCAGTTCCGTTGAATAGTTTTACCAATAACACACAACCGTTGATCAAATGGGATAACAGGGTTCTGTTAAGGATTAAAATGACGGATAAAGTTTTTTATTACATCTATTGGGTGTCGATTCACAACAACACAATTGGAAGACATCCTAAAATAGCGTCAACAATAAAACTACGGACAAACTTATTACTCAACGGCTAATGTTGTTGGCGTGTTGACCATAAAAATCATTCTACTAATTGCATACTGTCATATAATTCAATGCTAACGTGAACCGTCTAACAGTTTCAAGGAACAAATCGCGACGTTAGAATTACTTTATTCTATCTCAACATTTTTGAGTTTTGAAATAAAAAGATTAAAAAAAAAAACTTTAGACAATGGCATATAAAAGTTTTTTTATAACTTATGTTTTTTCCGCAATATTTTTACTTACAACAGGTTTTAATACAGAGGAAAAACATTATTCTAAGGTACAAAACAAACTCAGTAAGTCAATTTTTTTCAAAAAGTAGAGATAGGACAAGATAATTCTAACATTGCAAAACGTTCATTTTAAGAATTCTATTACTCTGATTGTTTGTTATACAAGCAATTAAAATCAAATAGCTGGTTTAGACTGAGAGCAGGGGGAATGTTATTTTGCTAGGTGTGTATGTCAATATGAGGGCCTTTAAGTACCATATTAACTAAGTCAAAGAGGTTTTGTGATACTAATCTTTCCTGACACTCAGGCTAAATTATAACTTTTTAAATTTTTAGCTGTGTCAAATATAGTTTGGCGTTTACCAGGCCACTATCACCATCCAATCGCTCATACTACCACCATCCAATACACGTGGATATATATTTTTGTTAGTGACCCTTTGTGCACTGTTTTTTTTTTCCTCTCATGAAATCTTGCTAACTTATAATAGCTTAGTAATAGAATAACAGCAATTAAAAATGAGGCCATGACAACAAAAGTGGTGTAAGCAACATATTAAAACAATAGAGAAAATAGTACAAATAAAATTGCCTAGCTTTTTAATTGAATTATCTCACTTGCTTTTGAAGTCATAGCAGCTTTCATTTCAGTTTTAATTTAATTGTAAAAGTTTATCAGTTTTAAAAACTCATTTCAGTTTTAACCATCTATTAAGACATTTCTTTAAGTTTTTTTACAGAGTTACACTACGCAAAAAAAAAAACATTTAGTAAATTTGTGGGTTACACTTTTATTCTCATGGCCTCAAAAATAGAGCGCATAAGCATGAAGTTTGGTAAACTCTTAACTTTATAACTCCAAAAAAATCTTATCTTTATAACTCCAAACGCTAACCTTAACAAACAAGGCCATTCCTAATCTCTTAAGAAAAAGATGTTTATATGAACTGAGAAGCGTTTGCTTGTAAATTTACGAGTTACGTTTGTGCGTTTTATACAGTAAATTGTTAAAAAAAAAAAAGTAAATAAACAAAGAACACATCGAAGAATAAAAATTTAAAATACTTTATTATTATAAAACGATTCAAAAATTTTTAACAATAATTTGTAAAACTGGTTATTGATTACACGAAAATGGAAAACTGTCCAAACCAATTGGTGACTGCATCCATTGAAGAAGATCTTGAACAGTTATAAAAAATACGTCGTTCAGCTTTCGAACATCATTAATAAATCGCATAACAGCTATAAAAAAACAAACAAAAAAAAAGCATTTATATTAGTAAGCAAGTTTTAAATTTTATTAGTTATTTTTTTTTTTAATGTCAACTTTAGATCTCAAACACGTTTTCCACGTAAAACCAACATAAACATATAAACAAATACTTTTGATTTGAAAAATATAATTTTACCGTTTTTTCTAAACGGTTTGTTGTTAAACCAGATTGAATCTGTAAACATAGAAAATGGTTGTTTGTTGTCTTCGTAGTGAAGCTTAAAGTTTGCCATGATCATTTGATAGACACTTTCTTCATTGTCTAAGTCAAAACAATCACTCATTGTTGATCCGAATTTTGTACCTAATACATCGCATTGCCAGGTTACAATAGGAACCTCCCACAAACCAGGGTAGAAATCTAAAAAACAACACTATCATCAGTTTTCATCATTAAAATACATAATTAAAAGAGTGCAGACAGTTGATAAAAAATATTTTATCAATTATAAGTTTGACGTTAATTTAAAATAAGTATGCAAAAATAAAGATGAAATTTACTTTTTGGGCAGTTGTTCATGTAACAGTTTAGAGGTGGCAAATAGTCAAAAGTGTAAGGCCACCATTTTACTCCAGGAAACGTTACCAACGAGCTGTCGTATAAAAAACCATTATCTGCTAAAATTTTAAACGTATCTTCTGTGCTTTCAAGATAAGGGTTTCTCCAGCCTTTTGTTATCACACCTACTTCAGATTCTATAGTTTTTAGTTGGCCAACAATTTCTGACTCAAGCTCTTTAGTGGAAGCCTTAAAAGGTAAAATATGAATCAAATAGTTTATTTGGAAGTTAAAATACAAAGTTTTGTTTTATTTAAATGCAAACAAAAACGTAAAAATAAATATTTCAGTCTTAAAAGCATACAGTTGCGCTCCACCACTCCGCAGGTAACCTTTGAGACACTGAGTGATCAGCAATTTCATGGCCTAAAAAAAAAGTTAATGAACCCATTACTTGTGACTGTTAAAAACATAGTTGGTAACCAATTGAATTAGTTTAAACAATCTAATAAATCTAGGTTTAATTTTACAACGCGCACAAATCAAAGATGTAAAATAAAAAACATATTTCAAAATTATTTAAAAAAAAAGTTTTTATTTTAGATTTTTCTAGATCTTATCTAAAAACTGAATAATCTACAATTATCTTTAATAAATTACCGCTCTCGTGTAGTTTTTTAACTAAAGTGTAATTGACATTTTCTCCAGATACAAAAAAAGTGGCTTTTATTGGGCATCCATTAAAATTGGTTACACCTTCAAGCAAATCTTTGTGAAGTTGAAAGTTTTCTGATGTAACGCTGTCACCCATGGTCAACAAGATAATTTGCGGCGTGTTATTTTTAAATAAACCCCCTGGAATGTCAGTACCAGCGCATCTGCACGTTGGTAAACGACAAAGTAACGAATTGCACGTAGCTAAACGACAAAAATTGACATTTAGAGTTTTGGCATTTTAGTCAAAAAATAAAAGAATAAAGATTTCAATATCAAGATACCAGGCACACTTGTTGATGAAAGTTCTCCTTTTGCTACGTCTGTTGTTAAAATATCGTTTGCTTCACTTGACAAGTCCACGGCATCTTGTGTTGTGACGGCGTTTAGAATACGCGCCAAAATTGCTAGAACAAGCACTTTTCTTGACATCTTAAGTAAACATCATTTTAAAAATGTATATTTAGTCATAACTATTGTAATTTATAAGTTTTTTAAATGCAGACACTATGATAAAGAAAATTTCTTACCTTGATGTCGTATTTAACCAATGTTTAATCAGTGAATTATAACATAAATCGTGTTTATCATCAACTTATAGGACTGAAACGGAAGCGTTTACTTCATACAAAGTTAACAAATAGAGAAGTTGTTAAATGCGTACAACCTGAATTAGGAATACCATACAGAGTCATTATTGATGTAACTATTTATTTTCGAAGTACTTAAATTTAAACTTGCAACAAATTATATTAGCTGGTTTTTCCGTTTTGTTTTCAATTATTTTTTAACACAATAAAAAAAGCAATTTATTGTTTAACACTTACACATAACCGCAATAATTAAATAAAATTTGTAAAAATGTAACGTGGTTTCAGAAAAAAAAAGAGAAATAGAATGTAAAGTTTAGAATGTAAACGTTTTAGATTAAAACGTTCTTACTCTTTGAAATTTAAGTTTCAAACCTTCCCAAGCCCTTACATCAAAAGTGAGAAAAACAACTTTAGGTACCAAGCCCTTACATCAAAAGTGAGAAACAAACAAAATAATAACAGTGTAATAGTTAATTTAATGAATATAAGAAAACGCATTGCTTACAACTAGTTCTTTGCTTAATAAAAAAACTATAAAATCTCGGAATAAGACAATTCATTTATTAGTAGAGTTTGCAAGTTATGGTAATGTAAAAATTAAGTAGTCAATATAACTTCCCAGCCGGCACAATTCAGAAAATAGTTACGCTTAGTTTCTGTTACGTTTTTAAAACCTTCTAAAACAAAAAGAATAACACGTATCCTAAATGGTTTTTATTCCGTGAAATTAACTATTACTATTTACCATAAATACCATTTAAAGTATTAATGGTTTCACCGTTATGGAAAAGTAGTATTATATTTAAATAACTTTCCGTAAGGAATGTGAAACCACTGATAAAAATATGCGACATTTAAATTTGACTTTAAAACCTCAAAAATCACGTAAAACTGCCCGTAATATTCACGTGCTTTTGGTTTACGCTTGGATCGTGAAAAACACGTGCCTATATAGGTTTTATTTCCGAAAAAGAAACTAGATGTGCCGATAGGGTTCTGATGTTCTAAATTTTGCTTTTAGTTATGTCAAATTATTGACTTAATTATTGAAAATATTAACTTTAAAGTATTTTTAAGGTTTTGATACTTTATAATCAATGAATGTCTAGAAATTGTTGATGAAGCATTAGATGAAAACACTGATTTCCTAGTTCATACAATTGATGTGACCAAATGTTACCATTTGCAATAGCTGTAAAAAAATCTTGAATGTCATGATATTGCTTCAATAATAATGGATAAAGTTGAAATTTTGCAGAGATTTTATAAAGTTTCAAAAAATATTCTCTAGAAAAACAATATAAAAATTCCAACATATGATAACCTCAAAAAATAATGTTTAAATAAAGATGTTGGTCTAAATCAACAAACTCACAATGATAGTACTAGTGTCAGCTTTTGAGTGATTTGGAAACTTTTATAGTATTAAAGAAATACTACAAAGAATCCTGTCAACCCCTTCTTATTACAAAATGTTTGAGTTTTTCTCAATTAAACAACAACAGGTAATAAAAGATTTTTTATTTCTCAAGATTAAAACTCTTTATGAAAAGTTTGACATAAATAATAAAACTTTAACTATACGTCACACTGAAATAATAAAACTTTAACTATACGTCACACTGGAGATAATTTTCGCTGCAAGTTGTTATCTAACTGAACAAAGCCCAGTGAAAAAAGAAGTAGAGCCGTGTTGTAATTTGGTAGGATTTTGATTACGACGCAAATGAACTAAATTCCAAAGAAGTTCCAACGTCGGCATAATGGTGTTATTCCAACGTTTGTCTATAAAACATTGGAACAACATCGGATTAACGTTATTATCTAAGGTCTTGAATGTTAAAATTAAAACGACCTAAGAACAACGTTGGTTCTTTAATCTAAAACCAACGCTAGTCTGATTGACGTAAGAAAGACTTTGGAACTACGACCCTTTTTTAACGTTTTTACTTTTGACATCAAAGCAATGTCATCATTCCAACATAAACACATATTCCAACATAAATACAACTTGATTTTACAAAACAAAAAAAACTTGCGCACTTTAAAACGGTTGAAAAACCGTTACCAAAAAAAATGCTGGTTTTTAGGCATTATAATCTGTATTATATCTATATTTATACACAATGAAAAGTGATTTTAGTAATTACTTAAAGTAAAGATAATTTGCTTTCTTATACGATACATAGTTATATAATGTAGGTAATCTTAAGTTTTTCATTATTCAGTAACTTAGCTGATATAAATATAACAGTTAACTTACAAAATATATAAATAGCCTTTATTAAAAGCAACTAAAGAGGCTACTTTGTTTTTTTAATTGTGGTTAACCCTCTTTTAACTCTATAATAAAATATTTTAATAAAATATACTGTAAATAGCCGGATTTCGGTCGGAGCAGGAGCCGGAGCCGAAATTCGGTACAGCCCTAGAATCAATAGCATTTGGAACAGTTTTTTTTCAAAAACATATCCGCCATGATTACCAACTTACTAAGAAAATAATAACGGCGCTTTCCTTATATAAATATAGCTGGGTATAAAAAGTCTGGGAAATAAGTACAGCCACAAGGCAAAAAGCAATCTAGCCACGGGCTACGAGTGTTGACGGCATACGACTTTTCAATAAAAATACATTACGTTAAAAAAAACAATAATTTAGTCAGCTTATGTCGTAAAATCAGGTCGTTTGTGGCTTAGCCACAAACCGATATGCAATGACCGATCTTTTTTTTAATTCCGGTTTTTTTAGTTTTAAGTAATCGCTATTTAAGCCGAATTTACATAGCAAATAAAAATAAACTTATCTTGATTATTTATATTATTTTTATTTTGAAAATATGTCGGAGCATTATACTGTTTTTTATTTCGTTGATTATTTTAAGGTGTAGCCTTAGCCACAACGGCTATACCCTAGATCCGCGCCTGAGGGTGGCGCATATAACACCTGGGTGTATTATAAACATATATATATATATATATATATATATATATATATATATATATATATATATATATATATAATATATATGTATATATATATATGTATATATGTATATATATATATATATATATATATATATATATATATATATATATATATATATATATATATATATATATATATATATATATGTATATATATATATATATATATATATATATATATATATATATATATATATATATATATATATATATATATATATGTATATATTATATATATATATATATATATATATATATATATATATATATATATATATATATATATATATATATATATATATATATATATATATATATATATATATATATATATATATATATATATATATATATATATATATATATATATATATATTAGGGTGGGGCATAAAACAAGTCAAAAAAAAATACCATAATAGTTTTTCTGGTTCCTTTTGATATCTGTGTTAAAAATATATAATTTTTTTTTTTTTATGGGTACTCCTATGGTCGGTAAAATTATGGTCAGTAAAATTTTTTTCTCTCACAATTTTAAATAAAATTTTTTTTTACATTTGTATTTATTTTTTAAAGAAAAGTTATTTTAAAGCTTTCAACCAAGATTTTTTTTCTGTTGTCTGAAATTTTAGACGATGATCTGCAACAACCAGTAAATTAGCTTGGTTATCTTCTTCGTTTCGGAAAGTTTCAATTAAGTCTTGACCAAGTTTAATTGCACGTTCTGCACTGTCATTTACAACAAGAAGACCAGTGATATAATTTTTAAATCTTATATAACCTGAACATGTTTCCCAGTTTGATGAACTGATTTTCAGCCATTCTGTCTCATGTAATGTAATTTTAAGTAAATCAAAGAAAAACCAGCTTTCAGGATCAATAAAATCTTCAATTCTATATATATATTTTTTTTCATTGTCAGTAAAAATTTCTGAACTTAGTTTTCCCATTTTATAACTGGTAGGCTTTGCTGTTTGAGATAATTTAAGAGCTAATTTATCTAGTTGATCTACAGGTAAGCTTTTATTAGCAAGACACATAACCACAAATCTTTCATTTAAATACCAACTGTATTTTTCAAGTGACTTTAGTACGGCCTCTGCTGGTTTAAGACATAATTCAGAATATTATATTATTTCATTAATGGCTTTTAGATCTAAAGAAGGTACTATGGCAGGGATAGGAGCTTTAATAAACCATGGAACATAAAATAGTGCTGTAAATGAACCAATTTCATGAATCATTTTTTAATTTTTATAGAAGGCTGTAGATACTGTTCATCTTGGTCATTATCTAAAGTATTTAAATTTTTCATTGTGTCATCAAATTTCTCAGTAACTAACTCTTTCTGTTTTCTTATGGACTCGTTTATACTTTGATTTTTTTTTTCATTTCTCTTTTTCTTTTCTTTTTTACAATATTTTGTGAAACTTTATCATTTACCTAACATTTTCTGAACACGTGCTCCTTTCTGGTCGTTAATAAAATCGACATCCTCTCTTCTAGTTTTTAAATCTTTAGTTTTATCTTTCATAATAGTATCTTCACAATTGTTTTGACTTACATCAAATACTTCCTCTAGCATACTTGAAAAAGTTTCTCTTTTTAAAACTAAATTTTTACTTAAACGGTTCATTTGTTTAAATCTTTTCTCTTCTTTTTTAAGTCAACAATCTTGTCTCTAAAACAAAAGTAAAAGAATGCATTAAAACTGTTGTAATTTATTATAAATATATAAAAAGACTTTATAATTGTTACTTGTATAATATCAATTTTAAACTGGATAAAACTAAAAATAAAAAGTATTTTAATATAATAAAAACCTGATATGCTTGTCAGTATTAACAAAAAGAATTCCTGCTTTTTGCCAAATTTTCTTTACCTCGTAAAGGACGCATGGTAAACATTTTTGGAGACAACCGCCTATTTCAGCACATTGTGCAGTAAAGAAATCACCAAGTGGACATGAAGCTGTACTAACTGATGAAATGTTTGGAAAATCAGCTCTTAGCATAAGATCTCTGTAATGGTAATATTGCAATACAGTTCTTTTAGTTGGCAATTGTGTGATAGGTATGTTCCGATTCTTTTTT